CACTATTACGTATGAATAGCTGGCTGTAACGAATCGCTGTACTGGAAACGAGTCCGAGCCTCAACATTGACGCAAACCCTGGTAATCCACCCGTCCGAGGTTCGATTGCCTTTGCGATGATAGCCCAATGGTATGGTGGCTGTAGTCCGAACAACCACGTCAGCATGCCCGCCTCACAGTCGGATGTTTAATCTTCACTTCATGAATCTACGCAGACATCTAAAACATTTGGTTGACCCATTTTTCGCTCTAGTATATCTCCATATATATCATTCCAACGCAGGAATGCAGAGTAGCCTACAACGAGGTATGTAAACCTCTGGGATATCGGGCCAGGGAGGTATCAAACCTCCCAAGCCCCTTGCACGTGCTGATACCTTACCAGTGGCCCCAGTGTCGCCCTACCGACCGTCCGTGCGCCCTCCTGTCCCATCAATTAGAGATAGACGACGCGTGAGCACGCGTTCATGTGCCCCTTCTCAATACGATGACGCTCAAACACTCCAGTACGCCGCGGTAAGATATAAGGCGGCAGAGATGGGGTACGAAGAGCAAGGGACGGAGAACATATTGAACGGTGTGGACAGAGCAGGGGAGGAGGGACTGTTAGCTGGAGCAGTGGGGACGCATGTCATCGTATGGCGCTAATCACAATGTATGTCATCGTGTGGCGCTAATCACATTAATCACAACCGATACCCGATGACCGATGACCGGGCCCCTTACCGGGTCCACAGCACGACCTTGCGAGCCTGCGCGCGGGAAGCGGCTGGTCACAGGTAGGAAGGCGGACGATGGCAGGCGGAGCAGGCGGGAAGTGGAAGACAGGAGGCGGGAGACGGTGCAGTTACCACATCGCGACGTGCCAGGACGGCGATGGGAACCCGATCGCGTCCGACCTCAACGTCTGGATCCAGACGGGCGCGTACGTGCTCATCGCGTACTCGGAGATCTTCGCGTCCATCACCGCGATTGGCGAGGTGTTCGTGTCGTTGTCCTCCGACCTGCCGTTTGTATACAACTGAAGCGTGATGGGTGTCCTCGTTGCCATCGCGAGTGTCATCGTCTGCTTCCAGTTCCGCCACTTCGACGCGGCCGAGGTGGGAGGCGGGAGGCGGGAGGCGGGACACGGGAGGAGGCGGGAGGCGGGAGGCGGGACACGGGAGGAGGCGGGAGGCGGGAGGCGGGAGGCCAGAGACACGTGGCTGATCGCAAAGCGTAGACGCCCAGGCGCGCATTAGGAGTAGTAGTAAGTAGGTACTATTGAGGGAAACAAGGCGCATCGGTTTACCACAGCCAATCACAATACGACATATATTCCCACGTCATTTCGCCAAGCGTATGCTCCCCACATGATCTAGACCATCCCTCGCCACCAAGACATCGCCACCCCGATGCTGTTCCTGAAAACAGATCAAGATAAGCGTTATACGAGACTCCCCAGCTAGGCTCGTGCCGCCATTGGCGACCGACAAGCGACTACTCAACGCGTGAGGTATTGATCACTTACAGTCCTCAACGTGCTCCTCGACTTTACTGACAATGAACGTCTCCGACGTCCAACCATACATATTGTAGAGCTCGACTTTCCACCTGTAATTTGCATTTGATACCACTCTTCACCCTATAAGAATACAACATACCGTTCTTGCGTCTCCGGTGGGACCGTTCGGTCTCCCTTCCCCCCATCCTACATGAATCTTGTGTATACGAATCCTCCAGTAGCACGAATACTAGTACTCACCTTGATGAAACAAAAGACTTTCTTACCAATTATCGACGGCGGAATCAACTCGCATCCGCCGCGTCGACTGAATCCGATGGCCTTGGCGGCCTAGAGACTGTTAGCATGACTCACTAACTCGCATAATAACCTCGTACCGTAGCGAATTGTTCGTAAGTAAATCTTATGCGTCCTTCCCCGAAGTCGTTGAGAATAGATGCAAATATCTGAGAGTAATCAGTAGCGTTGTAGAGCGGGAAAAGTTTGACCTACTTCGTAGTATTCACGCTTCACGATCATACTTGACGTTTTGTAAGTTCCCCGGGTTGCGTTCGAGTTCGTTCAAGAGCAGCTGCTGGGGAGTAAACGGCGTAGCAGCGAGGAAGCCAGGTGAGCAAGCAACAGCCACGTTAGGCCGTATTGCGCGGTCGTGTCTATGCACGGGGCCGGCCTCCCTAGTTCTCACGGTGTACTCGCCGAAGTCGTCTTCGTCTGCTCACCTCTGTGCATGCTACGCGGCCCAATGCTTACCTCCTCTTCCTCCTACGCTGATTACGCGGATGATCGCGCCTTCGGGATGCGGCGGCTTGAAGCTCCTCGACTGCAACTCCCGCTGCTCCTCAAGCTCGTGCGACCCGCTCGCCGCTGCCACGAACCCTAGGAACGTCGGGCTCGGGTTCAGCGGGCGCGTGTAGAACCCGGAGAAGTGCGCCAGTGTACATGCGAGTATCATTTGTCATTGCTGGTTTCCATCCATAAGCTGAGTGTTTCGCTTACCTTCGCGTTCCCTATCTTGCGCGTACACCTTTTGATCGATCTCCCGATCGCGTCTTTGTGATTATTCCTCGGGTGGCCTGATACCCTACGTGAGTCCTCCCCTCCGCCGTACGCTCTCCCGCACTTCGCGTTGTTGCTACTATGACGCGTGTCGACCCACCGCGAAGTCGCAATGACGGTCCTCGCTGCTCCGCACCTTCCCCCCCGAGCGTTATCACCACGTCGCCTTCATCGCCTCTCCAGCACGCCGCAGAGGGAGCGGGCTCTGCTCTGGCTGGCGTTCGCTTTAGCAGCGCTTGCGATCGGGGTGGCGCGCATGGGCAGAGGAGGGCAGACGGTGCCGACGTTCATGGCCTTGTGGGCCTCGTCCACTTGCTCATAGAACCCCCAGCACGCGTCCTTCGAAGTCGCGTAAAAGCGGCTGCTTTTCGCAGTTCTTGCTGCCGATGTGCGACTGAGCCGCGAGGAGAAGCTGGATCTCCTCATCGGTCCATGTCGAACGCGGCAAAGAGCACGGCGGGACAGCCTCTCAAGTCGGCGAAGGCCTACAGGGAGGCCACCGCGCGTTCGTGGTAGCCAAAGGGTATGGTCGGGTTCGAGACGTGCGAGTAGACGTGGTGACCGCGGTCGCCGTAGCGGTACGAGGGCGACAACAGAGCCGGCGGTGGGTACGACGCAGATTCTTGACGCGAGACGTCATCCCGCGTTTACGAGCAGCACCGCGCCCTGTTCCTGATCCGCGACGACGCTTACCGCCGCGATCCACGCCACGATCCACGCCGGGTTCGGGTCCAGTGTCCCATCTCCGTGTCCTCCATGACCACGCGACTGCTCCGCCGCGATCGACGGCAGTCTGCGCCACATCGAGTATTCGCGCCAGGACCTCGCGCAAGGGCCCCAGGCCCTGAATTATGGTCGCGGTCGACAGACCTTCCACGAGTAAAATCCACGAGTGGAGCTCGATGCCAAGCGCGCCCCTGGTCAGTATCATGGAGACCACGGTTCTACCAGGGACTGCAAACTTGCCGTAGCCATGCGAATACGTCTCCGAGGGCGGCTGACGGGACAGACGCCAGCTGAACAGCGTGATGAAATCTCCGATCAGCTCTGACGTAGGGTGGACTATGTTGGCTTTGAGCTTGAGGCAAGCGGGTAGGAAAGAGGACGCACCGCCCAGACAGTGTCCGGTGTCCGTGAGGAGCGCGGCTGATTCCATGTACCAGCGGGCTGTGCCTCGAAGGACGACATTGGAAGCCAGACCGAGGCCGACCACTGTGATCTTGCTACCGCGGCGATTGAATACACCGGAAGGCCAGTCAGTACACGCTCAGCGTGACATGATGACAACCAAGGCGGTCATGGTGGGGAGGGAAATTCCGAACGCAACGCGCTCCAACAGCACACGCGACATCTCGTCCGCGTGACGATCCACTCACTTTCGTCTCACAGGAATTGCGTAGCACTGAAGCAGTACGTTCGCTTTCACGTCCTATCAGATCACTGCGAGCGTGTCACTGGCCATTGCCCTCTTTAGAGCTTGGACAATCAGTACACTGCGACTGGCGTACCTATGTCCTTTCGCCACTGTCAGAGACCAGAATGATGGCGACGCGGCCGGTTTCCTGGAGCTTATCAACAACCTCATTGCCCTGGACAGCATGCCATACGTCTTCACGACGAGCTTCGCGTTCCACGGAGAGCTTATCGACCCGGGTTTAGCCAAGTGAGAAGCCATCATACTATGATATATAGCGGACTCACCAAGCGTGATAGTGATATTTGTAACACGTATGCCCAACTTGGTGCGCGCGGGACATCTATCTTCTTTTCTTCTGGAGACGGCGCAGTAGACGACCGCCAGGTCGGGTCCTTGTTCCCTTGAGCTCAATGACGTACTGAGTTGTATCAGTTAATGTACTTACTGTCTATCGCATCGTTCGTCGCGCCCGATTGCCTTCATCGCGCTCCTCACCCTCGATTTCGTCCCTTTGAGATGGGGCAGCCGTTGCGATGCGGAGGTCGTCGAAGGCTCTATCATCCCAATTCCACCAACTCACGGGGCCCTGCGGCGTTTTTGTCAGTCGCGGTTCAGACCATAAACGACGTGCTGAACACGCACTGCAATATTTGATCACAGCGCAGTTCCGTCCTCGCGTTATTGAGGTAGGTTCTGGGGCCTCTCCTTCGTGGGTGTGGCTGGCATCTGCAGCGCGTCGTTGTGCATAATCCGCCTCACGGATCACGCCTTGTCATGTATCACCTCGCTGAATTTTTGTTTGCCTGGGCAACCACATAGCGCGCAGCAATATTGTCACCGCGCGTCAGCAGCCTTCCATTCACATCACTGTCTACAGATAGGTCAAGTCTATAATTTCCCGACTGATCACCTGCGTAACGCACGCCTCTTGACGCTTGCACGGCGTGCTCGACCCCTGCACAAACTCGGGCTGTTTGTCCACCACATGCATACAGGGATCTTCTGCGTGTACTTGAGATAGCTTAGGCTTGCGTGGAGTTGTTGGTCCTTCGACAAACTCGGGTTCGTCATCCGAGACTCCACGACTGTCTGCGCGTTTTGTACCTGACCTGCGTGCCTTTTTGGGGTATCCCCGCCCTTCGCTGTCGCGGAGTGGACGCTTCAAATCGCGTCGTTTGATGGACGAGGAGGCACCGTCGTCATGATGCCACATGCCGGCCTCTAGGCGCCAATGTTCCAACCACGCGATCGCCTCTCCAGACCCAGCAAGAGTGGACGCAAAGGGATGCGCGAACAGAGTGATCGGTGCTGGCAACAGGCCAGAATCCAGTCCCGTTTCCACGCCCGCCCAGCATGTTTCCGTCTCGCGCCAGATGCAGATGAAGGGCGCGTCGGCCAAGAGGTGCGCCCACGGTACGGCGAGCATGTCGTCGTCATCGAGGTTGTCGAGGGAGCCCAGGTTGAAGAGATGAAACTCCGGGGCGGAGTCGTCCTATTTACCGAATGAGCTTCCCTTTCTGTCCCAATCTCACACAGGGCTTACGTACCTTGCCCCAGACGACCACCCACGTATGCCGCGCTGGTGGCAAATCGATCATGGCGTTAACACTCAGCGCAGCACTGAGCGCGAGCCCCCGCCTGAGCTGATAACGATGTAGCTGTCGCCCGAAGCCACGACACGGAATGCCCATGACGCGGAGAAATAGGATATCCTCATCGTGGTCAATCTCCATGGGGCTGATTTGCCAAGGGACCTCGCTCCAAAGATTGTCGTGGAAGTTCCATCGCTCGAACGCGCAGGGTGGTCGCACGGCCCGAATCCAGTCGAAGTTGTATAGAAAAAGTTCTTCCCCGCGTGGAACCGCGACTTGCTTGAGCATGGGCCCGTCGTCCCGCTGGAGGAAGATGTCGTGTTAGCGTACGTAGCACTTCACCGCCCCAGGTGGCATGTGCTTACCGAGTGCCAGAATACCACACTCAGAGTGTGCTCGTCTCTGCCATGCTCCTATGGAGACGAAATCTCAGCCTCTGGATACCTGTGCGCACGCCGCACGCACCGTCGTGTCCTTCGTATGGAAGGGGAGCTCCTGCATGTAGTTTCGCTAGATTGACATCATAAGAAACCGTTACTACTCAACGGTGCAGCTAGGACCGTACGTACCGTCTGGGTACGTGATTGCCCCAGGAGCCCCATCGCAGTCGCGGCGCTCGGCGACATCATGGTCGCCTGGTTCTTGCGCTCAGCGGATGAGAGCCATAAGGTGTTGTTGTACCCACCGAAGCTTGTCTGGCGTTGTTGAGTATCTGCCAGATACATGGCGGCATCAGTACTATTGTGTCCGTACTGTTTGCTAGACTCACCCCGAAGGGACGTTTCATGCCCATCTTCTTCTCAGACTTGGGCTGCGCTCGGGCGTTCTCTTTCTTGTCGGCGCGCTCGACGGTGCGACCTGCATCCTTTTTAGACACGCGGGCCTCTTCCTTCTTGGCCTGGCGCTCCGCAGTGGCTTGACGTTCTCGTTCGCGTACCGCCTCAATGCGCTCTAGGGCATTGTCGGTGGGTCCGAGTTGCGTGGGGAAATGAACTTCGTGACACACAGAACACTAGCGAAAGTGTTACGGTCCACCCTTGCACCGAGGGAATGCATATGAATAACTCACCACCATCTTCCATGCGCCCGCGTACCCAACCTTGTAGCAGACTCCTGGGTAGAAGTTTGCCCCTTCGGCTCCACACCGAGGACAGGTCCTTGGCTTGGTCGGCCGAGGTCCCGCGCCGGCCCTGCAGGCAGCCTTTAAGGCAGGGCTGTACTTGCCGTGTTCCAAATCTAGGGGGACTTGCTCGTATAACTCGAAGTCCGGAGGGCTCCCAGGACGTGCGTAGGCGCGATACAAAACCATCAGCGACAGAGCGAACGAGGGACGAGCGGAGGATGCTTACGGACATTCCCAAGTATCCTCTGCCTTTTCAACCCTCGGATATTCCCTGCGCTCGCCGAGGCTCGCTTGTCGGCTGTTGGTTACACGTAGCGTCGCCATCTGGTTCGAGTGCCTGGCTGATACTAGTCCACCTTCATCCGTGGCACAACCGAGATCTAGTCCATTTCATTGATTCGGTTAGCACTCGAAGCACGCGTAACTTCGCAATTGCGCGATCGTGGATCTGTGGTTACAAGAAACCAGTTATTATCTTCCGCTGTTTGCAGCTGTTACCGTGACACTATACACGACGAAAAATGGTCTCATGCGCCCCCATCGCTCCCTCTACATCCACTGGCGCTTTCCCACTCGCGAGATTACCAGACACGTTGTACACTACAGACATGATGTAGAGAATGACGATTGCTCAAGACAATGCAGGTATCTATCTCAGGGCAGAAATATGTCCTATTGGCACTACATAGACCTCCGTTTCTTGGCCTATAGAACGAACGGTGAGCATGCCGTGCAGCGCCGCTTGTTCAAAAGCACCAACCTTGAGATACCCCGCGTAATAAGCACCACCCTCGGTGAGCTTGCGCTGGCGGGGAGACCTTCTGAGGGGGGACGTGGCCTCATTGGTGCGCTCAGCGAGCTTGCGCTTGCGAGGAGTTCCGGGCGAGTACGTCGACTCCGTACCCTGAGTGAGCTTGCGCTTGCGGGCAACACTTCTGACGGCTGACGTCGCGTCCTGGGTGTACTGTTAGCCGCGTTTGCGAATTTGGTTCTCAGCGTCATACCTGACGAGGGCGAACGAATGCGGGTATTCCGTTGCGCTGGCATTGTGTCGTCAACTGCTTGGCGCGCTCGCATTGTCAATCAAAGACGCACCTCCACCGGGTTTTCGGTTTGCTGCTCGAGCGCACGCAGGAAGAAGCCCAAGTGCGGTGTAGACTTGTTCTCGTAGTCGCGTACCAAAACGAAGTTGTATCCTTTGAGTGGGAAGTAGTCGAGTAGCTCCGATTGAAGCTCCCACTTCAACGTCCTCGGATTCCATACACGTGTTCCGCAAAACACTGGCCGTGGGTGACGGTCATGGAAGCAATGTTCGGCCAGCTGCGGAAAGTCTTCGATGATCAAGCGTCCCTGATTGGTGAGGGTGACGATGAACACCTGCGGGACGGCTCCGGTCTGACAAGCCAGCTGTCAACTAGATTTGCTATCGCCCATATCGCTCGCGTGCTTACCGCATCCCAGGAGACGACTGTGAAGTCCTCGCCGACCTTCGTAGGCGAAGGAACCCGAAGGTCCACAGGTTCCCATTCTTCGATCTTCTCGATGCCTCTCCGCATCTGCTGTATCTCAACCTCCCGCCCGAGCGCGAGGCACACGTGACAGTCTAACTCCCGGACTAGAACCGTGACAGTGTGGCGGGCGATCTTGACTTGAACGTCCCAGCGAAACGTGGAGATCCATTCGCCAAGGTCTTCATTCCATACTTGCACAAACCAGTGCATGCCCCCGAAACGGACACTTGGGATCCAGCGGCGAACGTTCAAGAACTTGCCAATAGTCACGTCCACGATGGTCGTCTCGGGTACGCGCGCGGACTAATGACGAGTGAGGTCGTGCTCGTTATGTGCTACGGTTACGTACGTACCGTTGTCCAGTACAAGATGCGCACTTCGCGTGTCGTTGAACCTTGAACTTCGGAAGACTGTCGTGTGGCATCCTTCGCTGACTGGCCTGCAGCGGTGTGAGAGGCGGAGCGGTCCTTGAAACGGAAACTCGGTAGAGCCATTGTCGTCGCGCGGTCGGAGGTTTCGACCTGAGATTGCGCGCCGGGCATACCTGAGAGGCGTCAAGGGAGGGGGATGCCACGAGTCTACTGGGGAGGCACACACGAGCGTGCACTTGATATTATTCGATACCGAGGCCATCTTGTGCGCAGTGACTTCAGCTCGGGGCGAATTTCGGGGGTCTGCGTCACATTTGGTGACGGCCGAATTTCGTCAACAGACACAAATTTTTGCAGTGCCATCTGGGTTAGATCGGAACGACGTGGTACAGTACGGGGCAACTATCACTTCGTTACGAGGGTACCAATGATCAGGAGGACAAGGGGAAAGAGAGGGTGAATGTTTCAAGAAACTACGCCGCGCGGTCGGGCGCCGCTCAGGCCCACCCTGCAGTCAGGGTGCAGTGTGCGCAGTCGTAATTACATCTTAGTACCATACGACGCCGGGATAATGTCATCAGAATGTAATGCAGAGATAGCGACAGTAGTGCTCACCTTGGCTACGCCGGTGGTCTCAGTTCCCGATTATTTGGACAAAGATGGCTCCTGATCGTGTTCATGAATCCCTACTCTGGGCACCCTTGCCGAGACACTCACCGGAGCGTCGACACCGACGTCCTTCCTCGCGCTACCATGCTGTTCCTCCAACCGGGAAATCTCCCATCCTAGTCCCGGTGTGAAGCCTGCTCCTTGGGTCGCCCTCACGCATACACTTGTATAGTTCGGACTGAGGTCCCAGGACGCTTCCCTCGGAAGCCGACACCATCGGGTCTGTGCAGTGTTCCAGATGTCAACCTCACCCTCATACGTGATCCGGGAAACCAGGGCATCGTAGAGCACCGGCTCAATGTTGTTGTACGCGTCCAGGCGGATAGCGAATTCCATCGGGGCGCGCCCATGCTATGTCGATCATCAGAACCAGAATATGAGCGTTGCGCCATCGACGACTTACAAACTGCCAGAAGACCACGCGTACTATCCGGATACCTATGCCGTGGATCACTAGCTCCCTCGCTTCCTCCGACGGCGGCCACCTGGTTTGCTTGGCGGTATTGATGTCGACATATGCGGAGCTGGCCTTAGTCAGAGCATTGCCGAAGCCCGGACAGAACTCGATATCGCCGTATCGAACGACCACAGCCCGTGCGTGGCGAGGGAGTTGCAATTTCCCTTCCACTGTATCCAGATCCCTCCAGAGGCCAAGATCTGGAATCAATGCCAGCAGACGATGTGTGAGGCGGCGAGTAATGTCTGACCGCCATGACGGGCTTGTACCTGAATATGTTGGTTTCGCCGTCCAGGCCCATTGCCGTCTCGATCCCCCG